ATAAGCACAATCAGGGTGTCCCAAGTTTAGCAAAATCAACATACAACACATTTAAAAGATTTTATTTAAATACTGATACAGATTAAAACACTGGTTTTAATTCATCAGGGCATATTATCTTTTATAAACATTTTCTCTATTTTTTTTAGCAACACAATGATTCAAAATATAACAAAACAAAAATCGGCCAATACAGAAACCAAACAATAAAAGTATTAACAAATGGGTGTGATGTGGCTATTCCTACTTTAACTCAAATATATGTATTGGGTGTGTTCAGTTGTATTTGTATCCGATACCTATCGGTTTTTATACAAACTCTGCAATGTGTATATTTTACATCTTGAAAGATAAAACATACTAACATTGATAAATGCTACTAGATCCAGTAATGACTTTTCAGCCATTACTTCTGTATAACGCCTTAAATATGTATCAATGCTAAAGAATACTTCTCTTAAGAGTCTGAGAACACATACTTTGAATCTTAGTTAAGGTGAAATAACAAAGCTATGAGCATTTTCTAATATTAGAATAAAACTAATATTCTTGTGCAGGGAGAACCAAAGTGAATAATTACCTAACGATCAATATTCTCCATGGTTCACCTGATAGAATCACTGGTATGCACAAAGAAATGCTTTGAAAAACAGAAATTACAAATAAATTTAATACAAAGTCAATTACTGTAGATGATTGATTTAGATTGAAATATAATTCTGTCCAATAGAATTACACCATACACTGGGATTTTATGTTATTAATAGATGTGTACCTTAAAATATGATATAATGGATTTTACTGCAAAACCAGAAATAAGTCTGAACGATGTTTATACTCCATCCTTTGTTGCCAGATGTTGTCGTTGGCTTGTATTGGGCGTCCAAGACTTGCTTTAGCTGCCTGTGTCCAAGTAAAAGTCGCAGGCAACTTAAAACAAGCCTTGAAAGCTCGACTTTATCGTCAAGAGGTCATAGATCCACACGAATCAACCAGAGATCCACAGATATCCATCAGACATCCACTGAAAAATCAGCAAGATTAGAAAATAAAGATATTTTTGCCTTTTGTTATGAAATTATAAAATCATGTCAATGTTTTATCTCGAATAAGGAGCAGAACCTATGATAGACATACTACTCAATCTCAAATGAGTGAAAAAGGTTGTTAATGATAAACAAGCCTTGTAAGGAAATCTATCATCATGAATAAGAGCAGGCCTCCTTTTGTCATCGACTTTTAGCTTACCTTTGTGCAAAGGACATCTAGCAGCTCCCTGCTCTACTCAAGTGTCCCTTCTGTGTGAGCTACGTTAGCTCCTTTAAACAGCTTGTAGAGGAATGTCTATTTGTAGAAGGTGTGTGTGCATAGTTACACATTTATTAAAGATCCTGTTGATTCGGGGCGTTGGACAGCGAGGCCAGTTAGGACTTTGGGGGGGGGTGATGCGGACTCATACGTCCTGGACCAACAAGTGGAGGTAAATACGCACCAGGATCTTGGCAGGCATCTAGGATAAACAAGACTGTCATTTTACAGTAAGCAAATAAAAACTAACTCCTGTACTGTCAAAGGAAGCACTGACATGGAAACAATAGTAAATCTATAAAATTATGTGTAGATGTTCTTAGAGGATGACATTTACAATCTGATTCGTCCTTTTCAGAGATTAGGATTCAATAGTTTACCAGATGAAGACTTCTTTCAATAGGAATCAGTTACAATAATTTTCAGATGGGTATGTGTAAATAAACTGCTGAAAGCATAAAATATCAGAGTTGGTTTCTAACCCTCAACAACCATTCATTTTTAACACACAGTATCGTCTTAACTGAAATGTAAAGCTAGTTCGAAATAAAAAAAACTCCAAATATGACATCACATGGCAGCATTTTCTGCAAATTCAAGTCAAGTTTCAGTAACATCATTCAAACAAGTTTACTGTATATATTACTTTTTTATGTTTATGAAAGTCTCTGGGTATTGTTAAATAGTAATCCAGGATTTCCTGCTTAACTGTATGTGTTACTTAAACAAGAAGCCTATTAGGCTTTGAAATGGAAAAGTAAGTGATGCGACCAGAGCCCATATAAGGAGGCTTCCACCCACTGAGACCTATGCTGCATGTCTTACTCCTCTCTGCAATGCAGGTCCAATTGCTTAACTTTGTAAATAACTGTTACCAAAATGAACTGCTACAAAATGAAAATATAAGTAAAATAGACAGAAAGGTATTGATTTTTTTTTTATTTAATAAATGGTTTCTAGAACATAGCTCCTAGTTTGAATTGGTCTAGATAGAGTCAGAGCAATAGGTAAAATAAATAAGATAACTGTGAGAGAAAAATTCTGAAACAGAACCCACTGGTAGGGATGTAAGGAAGTAAGAAACCATACCTTAATCTCTGTTAGGAACTGGCAAAAAAAAAAAAACCTAAGAAAACAAATCTGCATAACAAAGATGCCTTCTCCATGCTTACAGTATCAGATTATTGACCAATATGTGAGGAGAGCATTTTATCTTTTGTGTCTCACCATCAGTTCAACCATATTAAGTCCTTTAGTTCCGATTCATCCCCTTTCACAGCCAATGTGCCTTAGGGCTCTGTCTACCTTATCTACCTTCTGCCTCTCGGTAACATCTTTCGGAAATTCAATATCCATTTTCACTTTTATGCGGATGACACCTAGCTCTATTTATCTGGTGCACCTAACTCCAAACCCCCTTCCCCATCCCTCATCTCCTGCCTTGCTTAAATTAAAACCTCTAACTTCCTAAAGCTCAATTGCAACAAAACAGAGATTCATCCAGTTGGATGAAATCTTGGATAAAAGCGATTTTGTTTTATGCAAGATTCACAGTTTCTTTCTATTGACAGTGCTGGCATTTCCCCCTCTTTACTTTAAGAGTATGTGTCTCTTCCTTGATAGCACTCTGTCATTTACCTCAGGCATCCATAATCTTACCCGTTCTGCATATCTTCATCTATGACTGACTTATCATCTTCTTCCCTCTTTCCCCACACTCTCCTTCTTCTCAGGTCCATAGGCTCATCAATTCAAACATTGATTACTGCAACTCTGTTGCACAACTCACTCATTTCATTACCAAAACCCCATCATTTTATTATATCTCCTCGGTCTACAGGAGCTTCACTGGCTCCCTGTCATCTTCAGAATCCAGTTCAAGATCATCCACTTTGCTTTCAAGGTCATCCATAATTTTGCTCCCCAGTTCCCCTGAGATCTCATTCAGATCACTATCCTTTCCGAATCCTGAGATCTTCCCCTTCCATGCACCTTATTGAGCCTCCTACCTGCCTCATCAGCATGGGGAGCAGATATTTCTGATAGTGATACTTTATCTCTGTTCAGATCAAGACTGAAAACTCCTCTGTTAGAGACTGCATGCCTCCACGTGTCCTGTTTTTAATATTGTGTATTGTTGATTATGTTTATTGAACAGTATCCTTGGCTTTTTTGAGAGGTGTTTTAAGTAAAATGTATTAAAAGCTTAAGTTTAATGCAAAACACACATTGTTGGGGAGTTGGTGTGTACATGTGGAGGACACTGGAAAGAGGTGTTATACAGACTCATTAAAGGTACAGAGGACAATCTTTTATTTCCGGGTGGATCATCTAAATAAGTCGTCCTCCTAATTGTCAAAAATTCTGGTGATATTTTTATGTAAGGCCGTCCTACGTGCTTGTCCCCAGTTAGCTATCTTTTTCTGGGCAGGCATACTTACAGGCTTATATGTTTGGTGAGCTACGGTTTCAGCCATTCATTGAAGCTCACCTTTCTCACCGCGGTTCTTTTAAGATGTCCAGGGGTTGTAAGAGAAAAAGTGTCCACATGTGTATGAGAAGAAAAAAAAAGGCCTCAGAAGAGGCAAATATATCCCGTAATGTTTTGCACCAAGAGTTCTCCTCGCAAAGCATAATGGGATTTGCTGTCACAGTAGTCCTCTGTCACCGGAGGTTGTCGCTTCCCGACATCTGTGACTAATAGCTGGCACCGTGCAATGGAGGAAGAGTTACGTGACTAACAGGGAGCAAAAAGCAGTGATCATCTGTCCAAACGGTCAGTTAACTGAATTCACTATAAAGTATATAATGATTGAAGGATTTAGGGGTTAGGGCGGATGTTCGGGCACAGTCAGCTTGTATGAGCTATGAGAACAGCAACTTTTAAACAGAGTGTGCACAAGGAGAAATGGGCTTGTGCATGCTCTTGCATGCGTTCAATAGGCGTTCCCTCTTGGGAACAGGTATAGGGTTGTGCATGTGCATTTTTTTAAAGTGAAAAGGGTAGGTCTTTTAAGAAGTTCTCGAAAATGCCCCACAATACCTTTAAGGCAAGAACTACCACTGCGTAGACCATGAGGCTATAGAACATTGGAGATGAGCTGACATATGGAGAAAATAAGAGAGGACTGAGGAATCTGTGGACGATCTACAGGAAAACAGTGAAAGTTTCCTGTCTACACTGTGAGCTAAAAATACAAAAAAAGGTTAAAGCTTACACATATTTCTAATACTTTCTCAGACATGTTTATTATAAATATATTTTTTCCTTCCAATTCCTTTTAAGCAAACCCTGTTTTTCTATCCTGAATAAGCTCAGTTTGAAACATTGCTCACTATAATCAACAGATTTCAGTAAATCTTCTATTATGAAATCCATGCAAATTGTAAAATTTCTGAAAAATGGGGAAAAAAAGATAGAAACAAAAGTAATCTCATGTTTTTCTTTATTGGAAATAAGAATACAGTGTAACAAAAACAACACTACACATCCTAAACCCTAACAGAATTAAATCTCTCCATTGAATTCCAATAAAAGGCTAGATATATGCTTGATAAATAAAAATCAATATCTTGCTTTAATAGTAACCTTGTGGACAAATCTAAATAGGCTCTGATGTTACCAAAGAAATACTATCAAATGAAGATGCTAAACTTTAAAGGAGTTGAAAAAAATACCAACAAACAGCCTCTAGTTTGGAAGAAAAACCTTTATTTCCTATTTCAAGAACATGCTTTAGCATGGTTGTAGAACTGTATATCCAAACATCCAGAGCCTCAGATTAAGTTAGTCTACTGCTCTGTGACACAGGTCTGTTCAGGGTTCAAGGTGAGAAAGCAATTAGAAAGGAAGTTTCTTTTTTTTTCTTTCTTTTTTTTTTTTCTTTTACGTTGTTTCAGGCGGGCAAGAGAAGATCTAGTGCTGAATCCTACGAATGGATTGCACCTGGTTGGTGTGAGCTTGGGTGCCGAACTCGTTGTAGTTTCTGTACTCTCCTTGGTGTCTGTCTCTCTCCAGGATGTACTGGTAGCCTCGATATCCTGGGAACTGGTAGGCCACCCAGCTGAAAAAACAAAGAGGACAAGGAACATGAAGACAAAGCCAGAAGCTTGATTAGAGGAACAGTTTTAGAAGATTTCAGTGATTGTATATCTTTTTAGGTTTACATCAGCATAAAGGCTGGTGTTAGATTCCCTCTAGATAACATCCGAAATATCCAAATCTATAAGAAACAACTAACAAAATCTGAGTAAAAAATATGTATGTCAATGGCTGAAACATAGAAATAAAGAAAGAAAGAAAACAAAGGAGGGGTTTCAAAAAGTGACATACGCTCCTGAGTTGACTTTGATAGAGGGAACCTCCTTGCTGCACCAACCCATGGCCTGTAGGGAGGGGTAGTCATCGCAAATCTCAAAGTTACGGCCCTGGAAGTCCTCACACTCGTACAGGGTCACCTTGCTGTCAGTGTGGTTCTGTAGGAAGAAAAAAAAAAACAGGTTATAGATAAATATATATTAATACCATTGATAATCATCAACCCATTTGTAATTAGAGGTCAACATTGTAGACAATGAGAGGGAAATAAACAATTCAAAGTTTAACATTTTTTATTCAAAAATGTCACAAAGAGATGTAACATAAATAAAACAAAGTACGTTTGCTGATTCGATTCTGTTTAGATTACAGGACTACTTGATGTGATCTAAAGCATAAAACCAAATGGAAAGTATTGAAATTACATTATTTTAGAGTCCCTTGAGTATTCAGAGAGATGAAAAGGGTTTTCTCTCTATAAGTATGGGAGAAAAAGATATGTCAGCTACTAAACGGGGATGAGTTAGTAGGACTCACAGCACACTTGATAGGTCTGAAGGAAAGTATGTGCTCAGTTCTCATGCCGATGTTCCCGCTCCAGGACTCATGGCAAGGATAATCTCCCCTCTCCAGGATATACTGCTGTCCCTGAAACTCTGGGTACTCGAATCCCACCCACCTGGACAGAAATTAGGACCAAAAAGAAATTAGGATCAAAGAGGATAAAGAAAGAAATGCTTCAAAAACAAACAAACAAAAAAATGATTGCAGGAAGATACAACACTGAATGTGTCCACCTGTGATGAATAGAACCCAACACCCACAGTTGTGTCTCGCACAAAAAAAACAGAATGCTGCTTCTTTTGTCACCATCAGGCACAAAGCAAACATTAAGCTGGCTGCACCCAGGGCGCCTTATCTGATCAGCAGTCAGTCAGCCAGGCAGCCGCTCTGGCTCCCAGCCAGCAGCTGCACGCAGCCAGCTCATATCAAAAAAAGGGTCACACTTGGATGCATATACATATGATGAATACCAAATATCAATGTAATAAAGCTGCAGGTTTTAAATTCTAGATTAATGTTCTGTTTTTTGTTATAAGTTCTTTGTTTGAACTGGAACTCCTAATATCAGACTTTTTAAAGCAAAACAAAAAAATCTATTTGTATTCTGACATATCTATTACATTTTCTTGTATCGTCTACATTTTTTATTTATTTTTTTTTCAAAAATCTAATCAGTGTTATTAAAGTGACATATCTCTTAGAATATGTATCATATGCTTGTCTAATATCTCGCATCAGCATGGTGAAGATCTGCAGTGGTAAAGGTAATCTCTATCTTTAGCAAATCTGATCTCGAATAATATCAAATTTCCCCCAAAAAAAGCAAAAAAGGATTAAATCTGGGAATCAGGAGGTAAAGACAAGCAGGATGAAAACAAGAATCCATGACATTCCTCACTCACACTCCGTTCTGAATCTTGATGGAACGAATCTTGTTGAAGCCCCTCTCCATGACGTTCTGGCACTCCAGGTTGAACTCGCAGCACTTTCCCTGGAAGTTCTCCTCCTCGAAGACTGTGATCTTGAACTGGCCCATCTGCTCCATCTGTTGAGGATTCATGGCTGCTGTTTCTCCCTTTGGGGGCTGCTTCTATCTAGACCCGCCAGAAAAAATAAATAAATAAATAAATAAATGTAATTCCCAAAAAACAACGGTGGAGTCTTGTGTTTTATCTAAGAAAAAGTGCATGTACTACAGGTTGCCATAAGCAGCATTTGTCTACATTTGCCTTTTCATAGCTCAAATGTTTTTTTGATCATCAATGAAAAGAAATAGCGAATAAAAAAGGACTTTAAAACCCCAACAGTCCAAATCTGTAAGAAGTAAAAATAAAAAATATTGGACAGTTTTTTATCAATAAGGAACCACAGGTGTAGAATGAATTAAATACGACCAATTGAAAAAAGAAACATGTTTTAATCTTAAAACCATCATAGCTACTGTTTATCCTCTATTATTTAAGCCAGATAAACAGCCAGTAGTTAATAATAATTATTGTATGTTAATATAGTTGCTTTCTATTTTATCATACAGCGAGTCAAACTGCAGTCTCAGCTATCTATGTGGTATAAATATGAGGAGCATCTTGTTGCCCGTGGAGCCGAAGCCCAGTCACAGCTGTCTCGCACTGTAGCTGCTTTCTTTCAGCTAAGTTTGAGCCAACATGTGGGTATACTTACAGACAGTACTGAGGTGGGACAGATCCAGTATAATCAATGTCGGGGAGAAGACCCTGGCTTGTGTTTTTATAGGGCTGGGCCCCCTGAACCCACGCGCTCCATTTGCCCAGAAGCCTTGCACACTCAGCAGCTGATCAGGCCGGCTGAAAGGGCAGCATTAGCCTCTTCCTTTGTAGAGGCTCCAGAGCACCATTGTCCACAGAGCCCCAAACTGACCTAGTCATCAATACAGCAGCCATGGTTGTTGGCAACCTGACCCAGGACCATACAATAGCAAGGCACTGACACAACAGTTTGATTGGTGTAGCGGGATAATAGAGACATTCTGGGAGCTGATCCCCCCCTTCACTGCTGTAGGTAAGCTGGTTCCTGAGCTCGAGGTGGGGAAAGGAGTCAAGGCGTCCCACACAGTGAGTACCCGGGGAGTCTTGATTTCATTTGAGAAGCTCTGTTCAAGGTTATATTAGGTCAGCTGGAGGAAGTGATGTAGGAATGTACTCTAGTTATCCTCTTTTGAACTTGAGAAGGTTGGACTATTTCATCTTTTACCTGCTTGCTTCCATGGATGTGAGATGTAAGATAATTATTAGAAAAATAATAACAATAACCCATATAAATAATGTTCTAAATTGAGAACTAAAGTAAATGCATTTACAGGAAATTACATTTATCATTGGTGCTGTGTCAATCACATCTACTATAACTGATGGAAAATACAGACCTGAAAGAAATATATACGGTAGTCATGTTTCTTGGTGGTCAGTTATATAACTTATAATGTTTTAATGATGGTATTTTCATCAGTTTACTGTAGTGTTTTGTTGTTCTAATCCAGTTGTTTCCATTGTATTTGGTTGATTATCTTTGTTCTACATTCACTATTCTTTTGTGTCCTGTTTCATTTTGGTTCCCAGGTTCCAGGCATTTCCTTTTGATGTATATTTATTATTTTCTTTTTTCCCCTTTTTTCACACATCCCCACAGGTCTGATGTATTTATTTATTTACATCCACCTGTTACCCCTTCCAGTTATTACTATCCAACAGGCTTCCTGTTTTACCAACTCCTTGATGGACTCTTCTGTTGTTTCTCATCGAGGCTCCTGTTGTTGTCTTGTATAATTTGTGTATTACATATTTCTCCCTCCTTGCTTCCTGTTTGTGTGTTATTTAAAAAAAAAATTCTCTGTTTTCTTATTAAATTACTTTAATCATGGTTTTGTCTGCCTCTTGCCTGCATTTTGGTCCAATTCTATGGCATCATCAACTTACAATGAGCTATTTTAAAAGATCCACCTTTAATTTTGGTAGAATTATTCAGTCATATTAAATATAGTATAGCAAAGGGTTAGTGAACCTTTTGAAAAATCTTGACTATGATAAAACCACTAAATGCATTCAAAAGGCTTACTGGTTACCAGAAAAAAAGGGGTTTAGTTCCACTATTACAAAAAATTAACATGCAAAATGTATTCAACTCTACTTTGACATTGGGCATATGTGCTTTTTTGACAGAAAACAATACCAACCTTAATGGCATTCAAAAAAATCAGAGTAGATCTGGCATGAAACGAAGGGAGAAACGTGGAAAAGCATCTCATGCTCATGGTTTAAAAGGACAAATGTTAAAAGTGGTGGTGTGGGAGTCGTTAATGTCAAACATGAAACACCAATTACAAAACAGGACTTAGAGACGATGTACGTGTTCAAATCTAAACAGGAAGTGTTCAGAACACACAGTGGCCTAAATTCTATAAGATGTCTGCTGGGTGAGGAGAACAAAAGAGGATCAGGGAATCCTGGTGATCTGAAGAGAATTTGTAAACTGAGAAATGATACGAGGAAGATAATGCAATGTCCTATTGGCTGAAGGGCAATCCTGCAAAGTAATTACAGCAGAGATAGCAAATAAGTGTTCACAACGTTTGAAACACTTGAAACATGCTTATATTGAAGCATTAACACATCTTTTCAAGGGATGACTTTCACTTACCCTGTGTCCTAATTATGAAATAAAAATAACCTATTTTTCTTGAACTAAGAATGTTTTTATAATGTTATTGATTGTTTGCCTTACAAATCACAACACATTCAAAGCCAGTTAAATAGAAAAGTTAATTTAACACAGGAATTGGTTTTACCAATTATAAAGAGAAGCATATTGCTGTGAAGGGTTTTTGTTTCAGTAGTCACCCCATCATGTTTATATTATGGATGAGGTTAATGTCAAAGCACTACAATATTATTTTGTAATGATATTTATTTCTGGGGGAGTTTCAAACTGCTAATTTGGACATAAAAATCAGACATTCATGTGTTTCCTTTGGTATGAGTGACATCCAGTGGCACCAATAGGTATGACATCTTAAATCAAGATACTGATAATCATTTTAACATTCGTACTGGTTTTTTTTCTTATTTACTTAATGTAAATAATTTTTTTTTCTTTACTGAAATCATTCCGTCCAAGAAACTGCATGTCTTCCAAAGCCGATGGTTCAATATAGCAGAATCAATATGCTATTTCTTCTGATTTCTTCTTCTTCTGGTATGCAATTAAATCCAATTCACTCTAATTTAGATAGCTTCTGTCCAAACTTTATTCATTTTATAGTAAAAGCCATCTGTATATTATGCTAAAAAACCCTTTTTATAGTAATATCCCACTGGATATTATATTCGGTACATATCCAGCTGTAAATTTAGTTCATAACACTAGTTATCTATATATTATATTCATAAGATAAATCTATTAGTAAAATTATGTTTATAATGGTATTCATTTCTATATTTATTCAGTAGAAACCCATATCCTGTATTTATGGAACCATTATTTATCCTGCATTTGCTGCTATTGCATTTCTGGTTAGACCTAAACTGCATTTCATTGCCTTGTACCTGTACCTGTGTAATGACAATAAAGTTGAATCTAATCTAATCTAATTTCGTAGGACACTTCCTTCATTCATTAATCACATTTTTTAATTCTTTCTTTTCTCATAGAACACCATTTATGGGGGAGTTCTTGATAACTTTTATCATATGTAGCACGAGGCCTTTCACCTGCAGCGAATGTGAGCTGTTTACCTGTGTGAACAGCTTTCTTTTTGTCTACTGAGAGCTCATTCATTGTCCTTCTCTCTACATGTGTGTCCATTAGAGTGTGTCAGGCTGCTTGCACCCAGAGCAGGTGATGAGCAGGTGAAAGGCTTATATAGAAACAGATGTTGTGTATGTGTGTGTGTGGGTGTGTGTGTGTTTGAATGTGTGCATGCTTACATTACTCATGGTGTGAGGACAACTCTGTTTACCTTGTCAGGTCGCTTCAACCTGCTGTTCTTTTACAGACAAAAACAAAAAACAGAACATTATGGAAATTGTTTAAGTTATTAAATTTTCAACTAAAGTCCTGTGAAAATAATTACAACAGGAATAAACATGTGTGTCTCCTGAACAATGAAGACCATGTGTTTGTCTTGGGTGTTGGTACAGGAAGTATACTTTAATTTTTCTTCTATATGTCCAATCAAATGAGTCATCCTTATGGTATAGAATTCTAAATCCCACCTTATTGGTTTCATGACCAGGACTTAAATATGTATATATATATATTGTATGAAACCTCAGTATACTTATGTAGCTTAAACACTAACTTGGTGTCTAAGCTAAAAAATGTAACACAAAAGTAGCACATATACGCCAACTCGCCTGTTCAGACTTTCACGACTTATTTCCCTGTGAAACACAGCTGGGAGGGGAAATTTGCATGTGTGGGATCTCAGTGGAGTCAAGTACAGAGCTAGCACTGTATGGTTCTACTTTGAATCCTTATCTGGTGCCATAATGTGTCCATTCATGTGTTTAAACCGGTCAAATGACTCATCTCATTTATTAGTTACTACATCTATCATACAGTAAAGATGGTGTGAGCATTTCCCTTCTATTTAAAACTCGCAACATGAAAAACTGTGGAATTTACTTGTTTCTTTGCAGAAGGTGAACGTTGCCACTTTCACCTTGCTTTAAATGATAAAAAGAACTTAGTTTCAAATTGATTTACAAATAAAACTAACTAACTTCTAATATATAATTGTAAAAAAAAAAAAAAGTGGGCACAAACAGTTCACAGAAGAAGATGAGATTCCCAATTTGAAGATGAGATTCCCATTTATCAATTCCTCTCCAGCTACCCTAACATCCCACATAAACACAACACCAAGATACTTGATCACCTTTTCTGGCTGATGACTTAGAGAAACTGCCTCTCATTGCTTGGATGAACTGGTTTTGTTCTCGTCTTCTTGTGGTAAAATATTACAGAAAAATCTTAGTAGTTGTATCCATCTATGACAAGTCTTGGACAAAATTCTGGGTGTGAAACTAAATTTCTTTCTCAACAATAATGTTTAGAAACAGGGGAACATGCAGCTGGTGTTTTTTTTTTTTTTTTTGTGGCAATGAGTTAAAAGGAATATTAGGGTTTAAAAGTATATTTGGGACAAATAAAAAAACACACCACTGGTGGGAAACTAAAACGTAAATGAATAAAATACACATTTCATGGGAATTAAATTATTGACTATTATTTTGTTGTTTTATTACCCAAAGAAAATTAAGATTCTGCCTTGGCATAATATCTTTGTAACTTTCCTATTCTCTGAGTTATCTGTTGCTAATTACCGTCTCTTTTCCAAAGAAAGCTACAGAAAAACTTCAAGGATTAATCTATCTTTTTATTGTTTCCTCAGAAAGTAATGACTGTCCACCGTTATTTAAGAAGTTCTGGAAATATTTAAATGTTTGCAGATCATTTTGGGATGTTAGATCCTATTATTCCCATTTGCACATTTGTGGTCACAGCACTAACCTTAACCCATACACAAAAAAAACTGTATGTCCACACACACAAGCACACCGACATGTAGATTGCCTTGAACAAATGCCCTCCTCCAGCTGGAACGTTACCATGGTGACTAATCCAGGTAAGGGTGATGTGAGCAGGACATCTGCTTATGCCACTTCTACTTGCTGGACACCCAAGCAGCTGGACAGAAAAAAAAGACTTTAATAGGTTTGAGAATTTCCTACGCTAGCCTTCAAGGGTAATCATTAGTTTTTGGACATGGAAAAACAGAAAGGTTGTAGGTATTAAAGGG